CTAAAAACTTTAAGAACTTAAAAAATGCTACTTAATATACTCAAACCCAGATCTAATACTAAGTAATATAGTGCAAGGTCTTTGTTCGCATAATTGTCTTGCATGACTTCGCATATGATTGTTGTCCAGCTAGTTCTTGATGTGCTGAGTTGTTGTTTTCCAATTCTCCCAACGTACTGTAGATAGTTGTAGTTGTTTGTTCTGGTTTGAGGTCTAAGAGGAAGATCCAAGATATGGTTCTGTATATTCGATATAGTAAATATAGAGTACAAGTGTTAGCATATATCATAAGTTCCTAATACAAATAAAAGAAGCTATACCTGCAACCAAAATCTTCTCTTGTTTAAATATAACCATTTTTTCGATTAAGCTGATAGTAAATTATGTGTACAGGACTAAAGATCATTGTTATATAGCATGATTCTAAAATAATAATACAATCGACTACCATATTCAAATAATTCATCATTTAAGCCGAAATAAATCAGAAACAAATCATCTGACAAGAAAATCAAATAACCAAAAAATCAATTTACACACAACTTTTTTAAAAACTGTAAAACATACGATTATTTAGTTAGCTCTAAATAGATCGTAAATATCAGATAATAAAGAGTATACGCGAATTTGAAAAATTAAACATATACAATTTTACGAGAGTTGTTCTACTGTGCTACAGGTAATGACAGAGAGATCAAAATCAATAATACCTGAAATAAAAATTTGATCTTTAGAATCAGGATAGAATTCTATATACAGAATGGTACAATGGCAATCAAGATTAGCAATAAAGTGACCATGAGAAAATAAATTACTGAATCAGGTATCGCACATTAAAAGTTAGTCTAACAACTTTACGTAATACAAAATCAAAAGCAAGTATTACATTGGATGTGAAGATATAATATATGACGGTTCGCTATATATATATACCTAAAAAAATGCAATATTTTTTGTACAAATGCTATTTAATTTGCTGTATAACTATACACTACGTGAAATTTTCAATATCACTTCGTTCTTGGTATTCTAGATATTTGTCAGTTTTGAGAATAAAATTATGCTTTCTTTGTAAAAAGTTCAAATTCAGAATCATATGATTTTTGGTAATTGAAACCTTATCTGTGTTAAAAAAAAATTATTAAATATAGTTAATAAACAAATTAAAGTAATAAAAATAAATAATCGAAATTATGTTAGTAGATGTTTTAGTAGTATAATTAAAATATCCTTGATCATGATTCAACGTAGTATTAACATTAGTGCTAAAGCTTTAGTATCAAATTCATTTAACGTTTTTACGAATATATTTTTCTGTATTCGTAATATAAGAAAAGTTTATTAATTATAGCACTTCAAAATCATTAATTATTAAAATTCTATTCAACATATCAAGAAAGAGTTACTTTAAAATTACTGTGCAAAAACAAATCATATTTATAATAAATCAATAATTTTAACCAAAACTTTATTTGTATACTAAACGATTAATATACTTCATTATACTTTTAATTAATTGTGCCTAGATACACATGGGTTGTTTTATTGTATGCTATATTTTAAGATAGAAAATTATTAATTTGAATGTTGTATTTTTTTTAATAAAATCAAATTTTACTTAATTATGCATTTAATATTAATCGTTAAAATTCTGTAATCAAAATTTTAAATATTGATTACATAACTAATTGTGGTAGTTATACTAGAGTGTTAACTTTTAAAAATATACTAGATTCGTGCTATTTGAGTTATTATGTACCAATATTTAATTTTAAATTCTAGTATATAACTGATTTTTTAATGATGCTAGAGTAGTTATTCTCTAATAACCCATCTAGTATCATAAGTTTATATATATTTACAAAGTAGAAGACAAATGCTGTTAATATTAAATCTATTATTTGTCAAGTTGGACCAAAAATTTTTACTATAATGTATATTTATTAGTTCAAACTCAAACATATTTGCAAACTTTGGATCAAACTTAAATCAAACTTTATAAGTATATTTGAATTTAGTTTGAGTTTGATAATTTTATATTTGATTTGAGTTTGAGTTTAAAATTATTAAAAAATATTATTTGAGTTTGATTTAAAAGTTTGATCAAACTCAAACTAATTAAATCAAATTTAGGAACTCTACTAGCAATGCTTTTTTTTACTACAATTTACCAAATTATATCCAACTTAACCTATTAATTTTAATATATATCCTGGCTGTTCTTACAATTCTAATCTTATTACCAATAGATGTATAATATTTATTTCTATTAATTTAGTATCTAGATTTTTCTGCACTTACAACTCTCAAGAAAAAACTATTAAACCTTATA